AGTGCTAACTCACAATCTCATCTAAAGGTTGTGCAGGCTATCACTGATCCTGAACCATCTAGCACATGTCAGATGTTAGCCCCAAATAAAGTTGCTTTGTCTTTCTATCTTTTCAGCTCTGTATAAATCTTGACAGCCTCCTGTTCCTACGGGAAGCGCTGCCGAAATTTCTACAAATCTGAGAGAGTTAGTCATTTTTGGACTTATAAAAATTCTGAAAAGACACTTTTCCTACGGGAAGCGCTGCCGAAATTTCTACAAATCTGAGAGAGTAAGTCATTTTTGAACTTGTAAAAATTCTGAAAAGACACTTTTCCTACGAGAAGCGCTGCCGAGATTTCGTAGAATTTGGGGAGTTAGAATATTTTTCAGCCAGGAATTACCTAGCAAACCTATCCTGATTAGAGGAGATACTCGGTGATTTGGTACTAGTAGAGGAGCTAGGTTATAACTTAGGGAGTACTCTCCCTTTCCTGACATAAACATAGTAGTGTTTCTTTTGGCCCATACTGTGATGCAGGTTTTCATATTTTGCCTGAAGGCTTGATCTGATCAGCCTCAGCCTTCTAAAGGATCACATTTCTGTTATCATTGATAACAGGTCGGTTGTCGATCCGTCGGTTTACGACTAAACCCCAATCCACTCTCACCACTCAACCTAAGATGGCTTTAGCCCTGGTGATTTTGTCTGTTTCGTTAAGGTTTCACCCGGACTTTTATTGAGTGACCATTTAGCAAAGGTACTGAGTACTTAATTATGGTTGGTTGGCTGGAGGTTGGGGCTTGCATGGCTAGAGCGAAGGGTATGAGCATAGAGATTGGTTGGAGTTCACTCCGTGTAGTGTGTGGACTTTTGTTTGACTCCTTTATGTGATTGCAGGTATGTATGAAAGAGTCTCACTTGAGTCATGTTGAGTGATTATGCATTGGACTCTAATGGGCAAACCACACAACTATCATGAGAGTGAACTACCCCACAACCTTTTGTTTGAGTGAGATTGTTTTCTTCCCAGCCTGATAATGCGATGATCAGAGTAAGCGTACGCTCGAGTAACCCTCATAGGGTTTCGCGATTGCACACTTACGTCCTCCTGCTCCCCTCGATTTCGTGTGGTAGACAGTGGTCCCAACCCTAGAATTCGAGGTCCTTATCCAGGACGGCCCAGGGCCTAGGCCTAGCCTTGACGGTGTTTCTTCTGATGATGCCAATAATGTTTATTTTTCATCCTTGTTGAGGCTTATGTTGGTGGAACGATAAAGTTCCGGGCGGAAGGGTTAGCGTGCTGCTGGTGGTGCGCCAAACAACTCACCACTGCTCCGAATTCCATCCTGCCCTAGGGACCATCTCACCCTGCGCCTGTTGGGGCACCTCAGGGTGCAGAAGATGGTAAGGCCCTCAGGCCGGTTTTGCGCCCGCTAAAGGTTTACCCCCTTAGCGCGTGCTTCAGCCGACGCCTGAGCGTCGAGAGCAACCCCATGGCTTAAGTGAGGCCACTCGGGTATGGACATTACATAGTGCGCCGACATCACGACTGTTTGCACAAATCCACATCGTTGATCGGTATGCGTAGGTCCTGCGTCCGCGCGGTCTTATATCAACCCACGCACGCAGCGCCTGCCGATTTCCGCGCACGAAAGTTATGGGTCAAGCGAGAGAGAACAAAAGCATGTTATGACCAGTAGACCCGAATTTCGGCAGCGCGAAACGACGCAGGAGCGAGGGAATAAACCCTCGTCGGCCTATGGGGCCCCACGTACGAACCTCCAACGCTTCGAACGTCGGGTTGCCTATGGGTCAGAATTTGGGGATCATCCGCAAACTCCTTTCGCGTTGGCCTACCCCTTCCATTTTGAAACGGCTATCAAACTATCTACAGTTGATTCCTCTTATAAGTTTTCATGGGTGAACGTTGTAGTCTGTGGCAGCCGTCAAGATTAAACCCCTTGAGGTTGGCTACCACGACAACCTTGAAGCTGTCTACTCAACCCCTCTGCACAAGGTGCAGAAGAGGGTGTGGTCTTCAACCGCACATGGCGGTTGTCTAGCGCTGAGAAGGTAACTCCTCAGCGCGCTTGTCAGCCGACACTTGAGTGTCGAACGCGACCCTCGAAATTACCAAGGGCCGCCCGGTTACGAGTACCACGTAGTACCCCATCAACACGAATGCTGGCATATGCCCGCATGGCTGGTCGATATGAGGAGGCCATGCGCTCGCGCGACTCTTATACGAAAGTGCAGCGCACGATACCTATCTGATTCTCGCTGCAAAGGGTTATGGGTCAGATACCAAAGGGACTGGGAGTGCTGTTGTGATGTCGTGTTGTTGTGTTATTTTTTTTGTGGCCTTCCATGTGTGTGAGTGTTGTGGTGTAACGAGTGGTGTGTGTGATGCGTCCTAGTCGACCAACGTCGAGTCGCGCTTGGGACCTTAACCCCCTAGTGCGTCGATTCGCGTATGGGCTCGATTTTGAGAGTCGACCGCGCGTACCCCCTATGCTACAACGAATGAGAAACGCCCTCGGCTGGGCCACCTCTGCAATTGCATACGAAAAGCTTTCGCATGTGGTTCAGTAGCTCGGCAGGGATATGGTCACCTAAGGGATGGTGACAGCTCCCGTAGGTGGAGGTAAGCGGTGTCTCGCGTGACCCTATCCTGTCGTAGGGGCTCGCGAGAGGTACGGCTGGCGCACTCGGCCGGAGCGGCAAACGCTCTCCGCGACAAGTCCTACCAAATCCTGCGTGACCCTGCCGGGAGGGTCCCCGTGCGGGACCGATGCGCTCGAAAGGTGGCGCCGTTGCCGGGGATCTCGGCTGCCTACTTGGGTCCTTAAGAGAACGAACCCAGGTTAAGTGCAGGCTGATGATCTAAGCAAAACGACAAGAGCTTATGGTTTGGATTGTCTTATATAAGAAGATTGTGTATGAGACAAGACTAAGTGATTAGAAGTGCGATTGAAGGTTATATCGAAAGGCTCCGAGTAACTAACAATGGAATGGTTAGCTCAGCCTTGAGGTAGAACGGTTAGATAGGACTTAGGACAAGCCCCCTAGAACTTGACAAGCTGTCTGGTGGGCTAACCTTCTTTCCTAACAGGTTGGTTAGCCAAGGGAGGTAAAGATGTCGGACGCAGATGGAATTGAGCGGGGTCCGGCAGCTACGCCAGAAGACTTTGTCAAGGCCATTGCGAAAAGAGAGCTAGCACGACTACAAGTGCCGAAGGTTGACATCTTCTGGTTTGAAAAGGAAAGGGTGTCCAAATGGCTAGAGCTGTTGGAACAGGTCACAAACGAGGTGTCGGATGAGGATAAGTTCAAATTCCTACCCAGGTACGTCTGGTGGGAAACCCGACCCAAAGTAATGAAGGTGGCTGCTGGAGCAGGGGGAAATTGGGCCAAGTTCAAAGGAGAAGTGCAGAGGCGTTTAAAGCTAGGGGATGGTCTGCTAACAAAGACAGACCTATAAATGTTACGACGCGATGAGTTTTCCACTGTGGGGGCTTTCGTTACGGCATTCGAAAAGATGGCAAGAAAAGCCCCAGGATTGGCTGAAGAAGAGCAATGTGCAACCTTCCTGGGACACTTCAAGAATTAGGAAGCCTCTACGCTAACCAAGAAGGTTGCGTCGGAAAAGAAGTTGACTCGGGCTGCCATAAAAGGAGGCGTGATAGATGGGGAACTGGATCAAGTGGATATCTTCCAAATGCGACAGGCTAGGAATAAAAGGAAGGTCTTGGACGCCACGACGAGTGACGGGCGAGACTTTAAGAAACTGATAGAAGAGGCTGTTGCCCAACTCGAAGCAGAGAAAGAGGCAAAGGCAGCCAGAAAGGATATGGCAACACCGCGGACCCAAGGAAAGGCAAAGAAGGCGGTGGTGCAAGAAGAGGAAGAAGAAGAGCCTGAGCCTTTGAAGTTGACAAAGGCCCAGAGAAAGGCGAAAAATTTGGCTCAAAAGGGGCAAGGCTCAGGAAGGGGTTAAGTTCCGCAAGCGACAGCATTGCCACCCCCTCAGTCGCCTAGTCAAGCCGCACCAGCACCCTATGGGCCATGGCCAGACTATGGACCTCCAGGCCCTTGGCATGGGCACTGTTCGTACGCACCATGGCCGATGAGTGGGCAACATGGGTCGTGTACCGGAGCGCCAATGAGTACGGCTTCCTGCGGATGTCTGAGGCCCCAGTCTCAGCAAGTGAGTCACCCGAACCCACCACCAAACGCACCTCAACAGTCAGCCCCACAAGGGTCGCAAGGCAATCAAGGCGGCGAACGCGGACAAAATCAAGGATGGGGCCGAGGGCAAGGAAATGGTGGCCGAGGAGGAAATGGCAGAGGGAGCGGGGGTGGAAATTCTACAGGCAGAGGAAATGAGGACTGTACTGCGTCAGGGAGTAAGGGCGGTCAAGAAGGTGGAAGAGGCTCCAACAGAGGAAGGATAGATTGGAGGAATGCCATTTGCTGACATTGTGGACAGAAGGGTCATACCATCAAATTCTGCCACGTCCGGAGAAACGATGAGGATGAAGGTCTAATCAGCACTAACTATGACGGGGACATGTACGACAAGTGGGGGTACTATCTTGACCCAAAGACCGCTGACGGTACGAGGAAGGAGGCTCTACGAAGAGCCCAGGCTGGCGCACCACCCGCGCCTCCGGCCGTGTTTCGGATGTGGCAGGAGAAAGAGGTCCGCAGTGACATCAGGGTGGAAGAGGTAGGAGAGAACAAGGAAGTAGAGCAGGGAAGGAAAGCCGACACCGTCAAGGAAGAGCCGATCATAGTGGAATCAGATGACGAGATAGAAGAAGACTGTTGGAACAGATCGCGACATGCTACGATAGGGGAGGACTGCTGGAGAGAGGCTCGAAAGACGATGGAGAGGATGGAAGACTTGATAGCCAAAGTCGGGAGGTACGAGCAAAAGCTGACCGATATGTGTGAAGAGGTCAAGGACTGAAGAGGTAAGGAGCCATTGGTATACCTCTACGACCTACGTCCAGGCTCGCAAGGAGGATCTGGCAACTTACCAAACGTCACGATCTCGGGGCCATCACCAGGGTCCGGAATGACCTATAGACCACCCTCGAGATCGGGAAGAGCACTGCAGGCTGTCAAGACAAGAGCTAAGGGGCCGGTGAGCCCCGAGATGTCAGCCAAGGATGTTACTGAACCTAGTGGAGAGAAGGAAGTTGTGGACGTCCCAGAAGGAGAGGACGACAAGGACGACAGGTTGAGAAAAGAAGAGGACGAGAAAGTCGAGCAAAGAGCTGAGAAGAGAGGCGCAAAGCCTGATACGGACAAGGCTCAGGAAGTAAAGAAGAAGAAGTATGTTGTCCGAGTAGATGAAGGATTCGATGTGGAAAAAATAATGGATAGGATCCTTGAGGGTCATAATCATCTTATGAACCTAAAGGACGTCCTGGCTTTAGCGCCAAGGCTCAGGGATGAGCTAAAAGTGCGATTGTCCAGGAAAGTGGTGGCCAGTGTGCGACTAGGGGTTATAATCCCTAAAGAAGCTGAATGGGATGAGACCGGAACTAAGATGGATTGGAAGTCTGTGGCGTGTGGTTGCCTTGATGTAGTAGTGAAGGGAAAGACGTGCACAACAATGGTGGACAACGGCGCAGAGATGAACCTCATAAAGGAGGAACATGCTGTGCGTTTAGGAATGGAGATAGATCGCTCGGACAATGGGGTGTTGATGGGGGCGAACAGTCGGTCAGTGTTCATTGGGACCGCGTCGTCAGTAATCCTGGAGATTGGGAAGGTGAAAGTGATGAGTTGTTTTTTTGTGATGCCTGACCTTGACCACCCCATCCTACTGGGTAGGTCATTCCTAAGTTGAACGGAGATGGTCATCCTCAACAAACACGATGGAACTATGTTCCTTGTCCTATGTGATCCAGTATGCGAAAACTACGAGGTTATAACCTGCAAGAACACAGGATCTAGGCGCATAAGGAACCGACCCAATCCTAGTTCATTCACCATCGAAGAATCAGAAGACGAGAGGTTAAGGATTGAAGTCGGTCAGTATGAGGAGAAAAGAGAGTCGGAGGCACTAACCCTGAGCTTGATAAACATAGGTGATGCTATGGACATAGTATCAACCTATGGGATGGCAGATCCAGAGGCTGTAGAAGCCTTAAGAGAGAAGGTGGTAGAACAGATGGGCGCTGAAGAAATGGAATTGGTGTATCGAACACCAGGGAAGACAAGTGGAGCAAGTGGAGCACAACCCCAAAGCGCAACTCGGCCTTTTTTAGAGGTGGGCTCAAGCAGGGTGCACAAAGGCGGTACAAAAGGGTAGATTATAAGTGTCGCCCTGTTCCCGTACTCGTCACCGAAGAGCAAGAAGTCTGAGCGGGAACGAGAGCTAAGGAGAAGGATGAGCAGGAGGTGATGCCGGGGGTCAGGTGCTTTGTCTGGGATCATGTGCAAGACTTGTGCAAAGTCCTGGACCTACTGAAGGAGCATAACCTTACTTCCAGTGGGTCAAAGTCAAGACACTGCATGAACGGAGCCACTATCTTAGGATTTGTGTCCAACGAGAGGGGTCGTCGGTCAGACTCTAAGAAGACGATAAGATTCTCGAGTGGCCTACCCCGTTCCAGACTATCACAGAGGTGAGGAGCTTTCTGGAAACGTGTGGGTTTTGGAGGATCTTCATAAAAGGGTTTGCGGCAAAGACGGAGCAGTTACGAAAGCTTGTGCGCCAGGGCCAAGACTGGGAATGGGGAGATAAGCAGGAGTCCGTAATAGAAAATCTGAAGAACGAGTTGGAGGAAGGAGACCTAGTACTAGGGGTACCAGATCATGCGGCTGTGGTGACCAGACCTTTCATCGTGGAGACGGATGAAGGGCCAACTGCGTTAGGAGGGGTGTTGATTCAGCGAGATCCCAATGGAGAAGAACGACCATTGAGATTTGAGAGTCGGACGCTCAAAATATCTGAGAGGAACTACTCCCAGTTTAAGCGCGAGACCTTGGCGGTTCTTCATTGCTTGAGGATTTTCAGGAACTACCTCTTTGGCAGCAGGTTTGTATTGAGGGTGGACGCAACTGCTCTGGCTGGCTCTCTCAAGAACTTCGCTCCTTCAGATCCGACCATCGCCAGATGGCTAACGTACATCTGGATGTTCGACTTCGAATTGGAGTGAATTCCGGGGAACAAGAATAGAGCGGACGGGTTGAGTTGAGTCGACTGGGACAAAAACAACCAAGAAGTGATCGAGGATGCTCCGTCAGTTGACGGGTTCCTGAACAGTGAGGAGGATGTGAGACTTCACATCAACTCCTGGTCGTTAGCCGTGGGTAACTATGTTACTCTTGGACGACCTGTGTGGCTTGCGCCACCAGGACATGTACGACGATCAGAACTAGTCCTTAAGCCCTACATTGAAGAAGACTCGTGGGGAATGCCAGGCGTGGATTGGATGATGGAGTTGGCTTTAGCAGGCAAGTACCAACTGCATGAGGACCCGCTCACGATTGAGGATGGGCCGCTACAGGTGGGCAAGCACGAGAAAGTGATAGGTAGGGTGTATCTGCTGGCAAATGCATTGCTTCAGGAAGAGGCAGTCATGAATACGGCGCTAGATAAGGAAGAGGTGGTAGAGCAGGAAGAGGGTGATAATGTGATCCACGAAAGAGAGATGATTTTGAGGAAGGTGAGATTAAGGAAACGTTTCGAGCATAGGAGTATGAGGGAGTATACCTTGAACTCGGAATGCTGCTGTCGTGTGAGATGAGGGAAAGAGACGCTTGTGCCAGAGTCCTGAAGATGAGGCCTAGTTTTCTAGTGAGGGATGACCATCTGTTCATGAGAAGCAAAGGGAAGGCTCCCTGAAGAGTAGTCTGCGACGTCGCTCGCCAGATTGATGTTATGGCAGCGCTGCACGATGGTACGACGCGTGGCCACAGACGCACGGATACGACATACCTCAAGATACACGAGTTTTACTATTGGGATGGCATGGCGCAGATGATCGATGATTATTGTAAGTCTTGTGTACCATGCCAGGAGCGATCCTCGCTTAGGCCAAGAGAGTCGCTGCACCCAAGGTATGTTTGTGAAGTTGGAGCGGTCGTACACCTGGATCTGTTGGCAATGTCGCTGGGGATAGGGAGCTACAACTTCATCTTTGATGCGCGGGACAACCTCTCTGGGTTTGTGGATGGCCGGGCCATTCGCACGAAGACTGAGGAAACGCTGGCCCGATGCATTGAAGAGTACTACCTGCGTTATCCCTTTGTCTCCAGGTTTGTGATGGATAGAGGGTCTGAGTTCACCTGTGCAGAAGTGAAGGCACTCTTAAAGAAGTATGGGGTAATCGCCGAGTACACTACTGCGACGCACCCTCAAGCTAATGCACTGGTGGAGAGAGGGCATAGCACCATCACGAACCTTATCGCCAAATGGACTGATGGCAGGCCCAATCAATGGCCGAATTTCCTAAGGGTCGCTTTCTTCGTAGATAATATCACTGTCAGGAGAAGCACCGGCTACGCACCAACCACGCTATGGTATGGCAGGCACGCAACGTTTCCTATCGAAAGCTTCCTAAGGACCTGGAGGCGGCAAGACCTCGAGACTGATCTGACCTTTGAGGAACTGCAAGATTTAAGAGCAGGCCAGATTGGCGCCATAGAGGACAGGATTGAGGAAGCCGCGAGTAGGACGACAGATAACCGTACCAAGGATAAGTTTTGGTGGGATAAGATGGCGAGGGTGAGAAAGGAGCCTCTCAAGGTGGGAGACATTGTGCTGTTGTACAACTCCTCCCTGGAAAAGCAGTAGTCACGGAAGTTAGACAAGAGGTGGTTGGGACCATACAGGATCACCAGGTGTGGTGAGCATGGAGCCTATCAGATTGAGGAGATGAATGGGACGACATGGAAAGATTGGGTGTCAGACTCGAGGCTGAAGAAGTTCGTTGCTCGAGATGAGGTGAGTAGGGATCTCACCAGTTACGATTATTCCTTTGAGTGCTTTATACAGATGTATTAGTATGAATAGAGTATACAAGATATGATTCTCAGTAGAATAGCATGATAGGTTGCGACTTGTTGGTAAGACTCCTGTATGTATGCACATATAAATAGGCAGGTAGGTGGGATAGTTATGGGAGGGCTATGTCTGTCTCCTGTTGTGTTTTGTCTGACATCGCTTACCCTCTGTGTCCTCTCGTTCATCTCTTCCTCGTTGTGCAGGCTTGACACCGCTTGGGGCAGCCATGCCAAGAGGGAGGGGAGGGGCAGAGCCAGTGGAAACCCCTCAGGGGGCAACTAGACAGAGGGCGCAGATGGGGACCAGGAGAGAGGACAGGCCTCCAGTTTTTTAGGGAGGGAACATTGAGTTGTTCCTGATTGAGTTCGAGAGGCATGCAAGAGAATTTGGATGGGATGGCACCGGAATGTTGAGAGAGGTGCGTGGCACAGGCGAGTGGAGAGATCTCATTGCTAACCTTGTCAGGCAATCGCTGAGTTGGCAAGATTTTGAGCGGAAGATGGAGGGTCTGCACCCGTCGCCATTGGGGAGAGACGGGCAACCCATCCGATTTGACTCCCATAATCTGGGGGAATTTCTGTGGGCCTAAGACTTATACGCTGATGACCTCAATATTCCAGGAGAGCAGAGGGTGGGGAGTTTCTTCTATTTGTGAGGCGGCACTTCAGACCCTTTGTTCGATCTATCGTGACATCTGCTATGAGTTGGGGACATTGCAAGAAGTTGTTGTGGGACTACTATACTCCAGCTCACCAGACAGGTGAAAGAAGGGGTATGGACAAGAGAAGGCGGGAACCAGAAGCAGAGGAAAGGAGGACTTATGAGCAAGGCGGGTCAACAGGGACTCAGAGGGAGGACAGGAAGAATGAGTACAAGTCCCACTGGCAGGAGAAACCAGGGGGGTCAGTTGGTCCAAATATGCCTCCACAGCCTGCTCAGAGGGAGGCAGATTGTCCTATGCCGGACAGGGAGCCAGACATACCTCATGAGCCATATGTGCAAGAGCAGAAGGAGAAGCAGTCTGCCCAGGAGAAGGAGCCGGACAGAAAAGAAAGAGCGGCAACGGACCAGGAGATCAAGGTTCAACTCAGAATGAAGAACCTTGCTGAGCTGCATGAGAGGATGCAGCAGGGGAAAGAGCCTGAGCAGGTGGATGACAAGAGTGGAAAGGGCACTTACACTGAGCAGGAGGACCTTCCCCTATTTTCAGAGGTATGGGTTACCTTTGACAAGCTGATGGACGTTGCAGGAAGGTCAGGGCGGCATCATCAGGAGATGGGGGTTAAGTTAGTCTCCACAGACCTACTCAACCTGAGGGGCGCGATGAAGGAAGGCTTCGCAGCAGCCAGGGCATCAGATCAGAAGGTTGGAGACAGGTTGACCAAGGTGGCACAAAAGGCATATGGCCAGAGAGTGGACTGGGAAAGAGAAGATGGGGACCTGAAGAAGGAGCTGGGAAGACAGGGCAAAGAAATGGAGGCAGTGAAGGCATATATGGAGAAGGTCAGGGTAGAGAATGAGGCCATCAGGCAGGTCAACCAGACCCTCAACAAGATCACTGATGCCCTGAGGGCCTATCTATACGCACAACAGGTATCCTTCCAGGCCAAGGAAGCAGAGTGGGAAAAGAGAGTACAAGACCTCAAAGCCAAGTATAGGCAGCAGGCTCCAACTACAGTGGTTGATTGGACAAAGGTCCAAAGATTTGAAATCAGAGAACAGCCTGCAGAGGAAACATTCAAAGGTCAGGAGGAAGGAGAGAAGGAGGCCCAACAGGAAGGTGAAGAGACTCTCTTGATAGACAAAGAGGTGTTGGAGCTGCAAGGGGCCCTAGCCGAGAAGGGCTCAGAGGTCGGAGAGTTCGAGTGGAGGTTGCCAGCTGGTCTGACACTGGGACAGGAACCAGCAATGACATCGGATAGACCACCTACTGAGGTCATGGAAGTTGAGGTGGTATTACCTACAACTCAGGGAGAGACTATGAGACAGCAGAAGGGTCAGGAGAGCGTAGGCCAAACCATGGTGGAGGCTGAGTCAAGGAGGGATCTGAAGGACTATCAGGAGTCAGCTATACCTCAGGAGATGCCTATTACTACAGATCTGAGGGATGCATTGGGATCTTGGGCCACTGGGTCAGCACCAGAGGGACGTGTTGATGAGCAGGTGATGCAGGCAGGCGATAGAGAAGCCTGCCCCACTTCCCCAGAGGTCCCACAGCAGGAGGTTACGAGCAACATCTCAACAGTCCTGTCATCAGTACCCTTGCAAGAAGGAGACAAGGTATCTCAGAAGAAGGTTGGCAAGTGCTTCTATTGCAAGAAGGGCAAGCATCGATCTGGTGATTGCCCCAAGGGCCTTAAGGACGAGGCAAATAGGTTGGTTACCAGAGAGTCATCTGGAGTGTGGAGGAATAGAAATGGAAACCTAGTTCCTAAAGACTCGTGATGGGGTAAGAGCGCAGTTGTATAGACAACTGTAGGAGGCCATGAGTGATCAGGAATAAGGTTTTCTAATAAGGGTCGGAAAAGACTAAGTCTAGTATACGCGAGACATCTCTAACTCTCTGACTGATGGTTACTTGTATATAGGAGGATACATGGAGGATTGGATCAGACCCATGTACATCAGCAAGTTGAGTCAGTAGTAAGATGTTACCTCCGCATTGTAGACTTGAAAACTTTTTTTAACACTGAGTACGACTTTGACTATTTTTTCCTTTTTTTTTAATGTGATGTAGAGTGTTAATATCCTTGAAGAATAAACGCTCGTGAGTGTGGAGCGACTGTCGAGTTCTCGTACGTCGACGCTTGGATACCATGAGTCTTGCTGGATACCTGAAATATTTGTATGATACCTTGATTCTGTGATAAGGACAAGAGCCTTTGCTTATTTGCAGGGCCCCATATCCTGTGTATATATACGAGTCTCAAACCTTGTCTCTGTGTTGTGTATGTTGTGTCACACTCACTCTCAGTTGTGAACTTGCCCATATGGATGATAGTGTGATGAAGTGAATGTTGTGAGGCGAACTGATCTGCACTTTCTTCCACTGTACTTGCGCATCCCTGTCCTAATGACAAGTGGAGCCCAAAGTATACTGGGAGAAAGTGCTCTCAGGTTTTTTGAGAAAGAGAGGACATGATGTATTTTGTCCAGATGGAATAATGATGAATGGAAAGGTCACAACCAAAGTTTTGTCTTCTGTGTGGCTCGGAAAAGAGAGAGGGAAGTCCAATGACCGATTGGACTTTCTTAAAATGATGAAAATTGTGAGAACACTCAAAATAGATGATAGTGTGATGATAACTGTTTGTGTGTATGTAAAGTTTGACGAGGAAATACCAGCTAGTTTGTGAGAATTATGGATGGAAATTTCTGGCAATTATGATGAGACTTTGGAAAGTATTGTGAGTATCCCTAAAAGACGTGTGACCTTACCTACTTTTGATCAAAGTACGGGAGGCATGACCCTGTGGAATTACTGAGGAATTTGTTGGAATGGTTAAGAAAGACACTATCCCTCCACGTAGTCCCGTGGGCAGTTGGTATGTGACCCTTTAGTTATTCTTAAGGCTTTTTGGAAGAAAGTATCAGACCACAATGGAGTCAGTCTAAGAGACGCAATTGTGAGACCAAGCTAAGGGGCTATACTTAGCATCACCAGAACTGTAGAACCTAACTCCTAGCGAGGGTCGTTGACCGACACAACCTGGCAGCGGGACCATGGCTCACCTAAGGTTAAGTCTTGAAGGGTCGGCCACTCAGAGAGGCTTAGCTAGAGGGAAAGTCATTGGGGTCGATTAGGTCAAGTGTCAGGACCCTTTTTTGGGAGCCAAGATAGGAGAGTTGCTTATCGTTGCGTAACCAACGAGGGCACCATCGCTACATAACAACACGGTGGGCCGTGGATTCTGCGTGATCGACCGGTCCATGGTGGGCCAAAATGGAGACCTGAAGCCACCTGTGTTAGACTCCAGGCTGGGCGTTCGTTATGATTTGAGATGGTAAGCATTACCATTTGGGCGGCTAAAGGCGCTCCGTGTTTTGAGAGGTCTCGGTTAGGGCCCGCGTCCTAAGTTATGACCCCGTTCGAGGGACGATGACTAAACAAGACACCCAACGGTGAGCCGGCAGATGTCTACGACAAAGGGAGAGGACTATTAACCTACTACCTGGGAGCGGGTAGTACGTTATAGTACGAAACAAAGTATCCCCTAACTCCGAGGCCAGGACGTGGGAGACCCAGGTTGAAACCCTGGCAGCGGAACGCCGTGACGGGAGCAGATTGATAAGAACACCTCAAACGGAGTCGAGCCGGTGAATCGGATTGGTCGTTTCCTTGTCAGCAAGATGTGGTTGTGTTTGTAGCTTTGATTGGCCGACGAGACGGGGATGTCGTTTAATAAGGTCCGGAAAATTGTCAGCCTGAATACCCTTATAAGGGTATTTGGGCACATATTTGCAGCTTACAGGAAGAACGCTCCTTATGACATCCAGGGGCGCGTCTCATTTGTGTTGATTAGAGAGTGTGTGGGCGCGCACTTTGTGGGGACGCGTTGGTTTGACCAGAAGATTGACTAATGTAGGCTATGAGACGCCGGTAGGGCGAGTAAGTGTCAGGCTAGAAAATCAGAGGAGGTCGCGGCCTCGCACGCGTGGCGAAGTTACAGGCGGCGTAGCGTTGATCAGGTAAGATAGGGGCTAGAAGTGAATGTAGCCCTATTAGTCGAAAGTCGGCACTTTGGGGCCGCGCCGTGTGCAGGTGCGCGCGCACTAAGTTAACAGTGTACTAGCGAAGGTCAGAATGGTCAGAGAGGGGGCGGTAGAAGGTCGCTCGTGGCAGGCTATGGGAGCCCCGGGTCGTGGCCACGACGTTACAAGGCCGCGGGTGCCAGGAGATAAGCCGAGCGAAGGCATTGGCACACCTTTGTAGGTATGGGCAGGCTGCCCTTACTCTATATATGTAGGGTTCTGCCTGCTACATCCAGGTTTGGGCTTAGCCCTATAGGTTACGTCACTGAACTCTCACCAGGCGGATGCCGGGATCGAGGTCAGCGGCGAGCAGCGGAGCAGCGGAGGAGCGCGTCGAAGTGAGCCGAGGGGTTGAGGGTCCCGTGGGACTATCCCCCTTGGCTTTTTGTGGGGAGTTCCGACCGCCGACCCGTAGGAAAGGGCCAGGTTCCAACGGTCCTCTCCCGCATCCGTTTTTCTTTCGTTTATCTCTGAGTTTTTCCTTTTTTTTTTTTTTTTTTTTTTTTTTGGAAACCCGTGGTATCAGATAGGGGTG